ATTATTTCGAATTTTCTTACGTAAGTTTACGTAATTTTGATATTTCGCATTAATTCGAAATAGTTTACGCAATATTATGCTTTTTTTACGTTTCGTAAATTATTTCGAAATATTTCGCCTCAATAAATTTGCTGATGTATATATACTACTTTATTAGATATCAAATTATCATAATGCGGGATTTATTGAGGATAATTATGAGGAACCACAGGTTTTATTAGATATGGTATTGGAGGATTGTTTTGAAAGCAATATGGATGAAATCTGGGAAGTTAGACATATTCAAAATATAATCAATCATTTACAATTTGTCTTGTTACTTGGCGATAGTACCCACTATTGCACATATCTCTATTTAATATATACTGGATTCATTTGTCAGCATTTTTTTGCAGTATTAATTCAATCAAAAAAGGCACTTTTTAATATTAAGTTGATACCTTCTTGTTGGTATTCAGAAGAAAATCTTGCAGCATTGGACAAAAATCAAGTATCATCTATTTAGGTAATGTAAAATAAAGATAGTCAGATTTTTACTGGAATGTTTCAAATATTAGAAAAGATTCGCAAACAAGATGTTGATAATAAAATTGCTGTAAAATTAGATTCAAAAAAGGTTTCTTATAGCCGTGATCTCAAGCTTTTAAAAAGGTGTTAAATTTAGCGATTACAAATGGTACAAATAAGGCTTTTGAAAACCTCTTACAACAATTTATTGGTGATTAGGTTTTATTATAGAGTGGAAATAATATACAGGAGTCATCAAAGCAAGGGTCAGATCAAGGAGTCAATGGTTTTAAAATCACAAACCTTCTTAATATAAAGGCAAGGGATGTCTTACTAGCAAAAGATATTTATCTGTAATTGAGAATCATAATAACAAATATATTCGTTTAAGTAATCAAGATAAAACATTAGAACTGGAGTCAAAAAAGAAAAATAAATGTCAATGCGCTATGTATAAATTATAGTACCATGATTCTCAAAACTGCTCTTTGAGAAAATAGTTGTAAGGTATTGTGTAGTAAATGGATGTTTGGTTGTTTATGATAGAATTCATGAATTTATATTGTTTGTTATATTAAAGTTGTAAAGTAAGTGCAAAAGGCTAAGTAATAGAAAGGTATTTATATTGCTTATATTCCAATTTATGAGTTTATGATCATATATAATTGTGAAAATATAGTTCTTTTTTTTTATGGTTAAATTAGATTTATTGTAAGTATGATGTCATTATATATTTAGTGATCTTGAATTTATAATAATAGCTATAAATACAAAATTTGTATTTAATTGTTACGATCTGGCTGATTTTTTAATTTAAATTTTACGAGTTCAATTTAAATGAAATTTATGTTGAAATGTTAGATTTATAGTTATTTCCAGTTAATTTTTTCATAAGTTTAGTTATTAAAAAAAGTAACTTATAAGGGTAATCTCTATATAAAATATATTAAACAGATCATACTATGTGTTTATAAAGAGCACACTTATGGATAGTCAACTGTAGTTTGTTCGCACTAATTATTAATATATATGTAGCAGATGTTATGTGAATATAAACTATATAGTTAACAATTTGTATAGGTTAATATAATAATAAAGCACAAATATCTATTGTATATGTCATATTAATTTTTAGCTAACTAGATTAAATAGCCATATATCTAAAAGGTATTAAAAAATGTTAAGGTGGATTAGTGTATTTTATATATATTGTTATTAGCATATTAGTTAGAAAAATAAACTTTATATACTTAAATTTGATTGGATAACTTAAGATAGGATATTAATATTCTCTGATAATGATTAAAAATGGCCTAAAAATAATATCCCTTAAACTGTAGGCTTTTTCAGACAAATTTGCCTGAAAAATTATCATAAATATTGTTATGATATACTTTTTTTAAATTTTAATATATTTAAATAAATTTTTTTTTGATAATATTTGAAAATAAGGATTATATTATAGCAG